GGCTCAAGAAAAGCCTCCGGAGCCCGGGGAGGCCATTTTTATCCTCCGGAGGCTCGAGCAAAGCTTCCGGAGCCCAGGGAGGGCAAAAACGCCCCTCACCACCATGGTGCAGGAGTCCAACTAGGCCACGCCCGCCATGGCCATACCCACCCAGCAATCGTGCAGAGAACCCTTTGCTAAAAAAATTTAATCCCGCCCCTGTTATCCTCACCAATATTTTTAATTGCTTCTGGTTCTTTTTTCCTGGATTTCCCCATTGAAACAACACAAATGTAACCCTGGATGTTTTATGGGAAACGAAGACCAGATGGATTGTCTTATCTATCACATTTCAGGACTCCTTCCATTGTTTTATGGTGCTTGTCGTGGTTAAAACCGAAACTCGGTGGTTTTGAAAGAAGGAATGTTTTCCTGAATGAAATGCCATTAAGTCCAAATGGCTGCTTATAATTCTGCAATTGAGCCGTACGGTGGGTAGTAAGTGCCCTGTCGGTCTCTTGGTAGTGATCTGGGAAGTTAATTTTATTTTTGCTGTAGGCTAGGCTTTCATGGTGCTTATCCAAGTGGGAGGAAAGGGGGGGCGGGAAAGCCAAAGTGAATTAGAGCTGCCTTTTTTTAAAAAAAATTGCAGCAAAAGCAGTTACTGCTTCTTATCTTTTGGGCATATTTGCCTTGGATGAGTCGTCGCAATCACAGTGCAATCTGTTTTGATTAGCAGAAGAATTCTGCAGAATAACAGAACAGCACTGAGTTGGAAGGGGCCTTGGAGGTCTTCTAGTCCAGCCCCCCCCCCCCCTGCTCAGGCAGGAATCCCTATATCGGTGATGGCTAGCCTTTTTGGGCTCCTGTGCCAAAAATTGTGCGTGCGCTTGCATGCTTGTGCTTGTGTGCCAGCACCCAGAAGGCAATGTGCCCCCCATACCCCCTATGCATGCGCGTGCAATCCCCCCCATTACCTGCACTGCACCTCACAGCTGATTTTCAGCTGGTTTGAGGCCTTTATCGGCCTCCCAAAGGCTTGAGGAAGGCTTCTGCAGGCTTCTGCAAGCTTTGTAGGTCGAAAACTAGCCCCGTTTTGTCACTTCCTGTTTTTCCGGAAATAATGCGCAGTGAGATAAGTTTGCCTGTAGCTTGTGTGCCAGCACAAATGGCTCTGCATGCCACCTGTGGCACACATGCCATAGGTTCACCATCAAGGCCCTACACCATTGCAGACAAAGGGGCTGTCCAAACTCTTCTTGAAAACCTCCAGTGTTGGAGTGCCTACAACTTCTGGAGGCAAGTTGTTCCACTGATGAATTTATCTTACTGTCAGGAAATTGCTCCTTAGTTCTTGGTTGCTTCTCTCCTTGATTAGTTTCTATCTGTTGCTTCTTGTCCTGCCTTTTGGTGCTTTGGAGCAGGGGACTCCAACCTTGGGAACTTTAAAACCTTGTGGACTTCAACTCCCAGAATTCCTCAGTCAGCACAGCTGGTTGAGGAATTCTGGAAGTTGAAGTCCACAAGTCTTAAATTTCCCAAGGTTGGAGACCCCTGCTTTGGAAGATAGGTTGACTCTCTCTTCTTTATCACGACCACTCAAATACTGGAAGACTGTTATCATGTCGCTCCTATTCCTTTCTTTTGATTAAGCTAGATTTACCCAACAACCCTTCTTGTTGGTTCTCTGTGGTCATAGCAACATTTCTGGTGGTAGATGGATGTGAACCAAGAAAGATGCCAGCGTTATAATCTATAGAACAATAAAATACACATTTTGTGGTTCAATTTTGGGAAATGTCTATGCACTCCAGCCTGCTCTGATCATCCATCAACTCCTAGGTTTGATGGTGTGAGAAAAGAGATGTTTTCTTCCTGTTTACAGCAGGGGGAAAAAATCATAATTAAAAAACATTGGCTAGTTCCATCTGCCAAATACTTATCAACCATTCCAATCAGAAATTGGGATGTAGATTGTATATAATGTGCCACGTATGGCACCTGTTTAAGAGACCAAGTAGGCATTGTCACTTCCATATAATAGAAAATAGAATAACAGAGTTGGAAGGGACCTTGGAGGTCTTCTAGTCCAGCCCCCTGCTTAGGCAGGAAACCCTACACCATTTCAGACAAATGGTTATGCAATCTCTTCTTTAAAACTTCCAGTGTTGGAGTATTTACAACTTCTGGAAGCAAGCAGTTCCACTGATTAATTGTTCTAACTGTCAGGAAATTTCTCCTTAATTCTAGGCTGCTTTTCCCCTTGACTGCTTCTTTTTCTTCCCTCAGGTGCTTTGGAGAATAGCCTGACTCCCTCTTCTTTGGGGCAGCCCCTGAGATATTGGAACACTGCTACCATGACTCCCCTAGTCCTTCTTTTCATCAGAGTAGACATACCCAATTCCTACAACTGTTCTTCATATGTCTTAGTCTCCAGTCCCCTAATCTTCTTTGTTGCTTTTCTCTGCACTCTTTCCAGAGTCTCAACATCTTTTTTATATCATAGCGCGACCAAAACGGGATGCAGTATTCCAAGTATGGCCCTACCAAGGCATTATAAAGTGGTATTAACACCTCATGTGATCTTGATTCTATCCCTCTTGTTTATGCAGCTTACAACTGTGTTGGCTTTTGGTCTCCCTAGAGTCAATCATATTATGGCATTACCGGTAGTTACTGGGGTCTGAAGAATGTAGATAATTGTAGGAGCAGACATCCCAGTTAAAAAGGGGGTTTATATCAACTGGCCAGTAGTGGCATTTGCCGGTTCGCCGAACTGTGCAGAATCATAACAACCGGTACACCCGAACCGTTGTAAACAGGCGGTAGCCCACCTCTGACTGAGACATATAAAGTGGTTTTGAAAATAAAATATGGTTGTGGTTAGGAATGATCCTTGACTGAAACCCTAGGCAAGCCTGGAAAATAAAATATTATTCTAGTGACAAAGGCTCTGAACATCCAAATTTGGAAGTTCATCATGGCCTCTGCACTGCTTCAGAAGACTCTGCCAGGGTCATTTGACACTCCAAAGGAGTGCTCCAAACTCAGCCAGATGGAGAACGATTTTCTTGGACACATTCCCAGACCTCCAACTGATCTTTTGTAGTTGTGTGTGTGTGTGTGTGTGTGTGTGTGTGTGTGTGTTTGTAATTGAACTTACAGGACATTGAACATGTTTGCAGATTGGCTGTTGTCCCCTAATAATCTGAACTCTTTATGTTTACTAGGACCACCACAGAGAACGGTGTCTCCCAAACAAGAGCATGAAGATCGCAAACACGAAAAGGTGACGGACAAAGGAAGCGAGAGCGGAACGTCCTGCAATGAATTGTCCACTTCCAGTTGCGAGAGCCATTCCGAAGCGAGCACGCCTCAAGAGAATGCGACTAGCGCTCAGCAGCCCACGAGCCACGAGTCCAATACCCTGACATTGGATCGCCCATCGAAGAAGGCTCCGGTCCAGAAAATGCCCCCGCCAGACAAACGTCGAAACAGCGAACTTTTCCAGACTCTGATGAGTAAGTCCAGAGAAACAAACCTTTCCAAGAAAAAGGTCTCGGAGAAGCTCAGCGTTGAAGAAGAGATGAAAAAATGTATTCAGGAGTTTAAAAATATTCACATCCCCGACGATTTCCCAGAAAGGAAACGTCCGTGGCAATCTGAACTGTTGCAAAAATATGGGCTATAGTTTTTCGATATTGCATCTCATGTCCATGGTGCATTAGGTATCTGTTCCATTGCTGGTTTACTTGTTGGTCTTCTCCTTGGACTTCTGCGGCTTCTTTCTTTCTGTGAACTGGATAGGACATGAGTTGACTCTTTCTTTCTTTCTTTCTTTTTTTAAAGGATAGGATTAATGAAAATAAAACCTAGATCCTTTTATAATAGTTAACAAATGCATGGTCAAGACATTTGGGGGTTTAAGCCTTCTCATCCATGGAATAAATATATCATCTGGTCGCTCACCATTTTATATATGTTACAGCAGTGATATAAAGTTCCACAGCACAAAACGATGGGTCTAAGGCAGGGGTGGGGAACGATGGCCCTTTTATGACTTGTGGACTTCAACTCCCAGAATTCCCAAGCCAGCATGGTAACCAATGGCCCTTTTATGACTTGTGGACTTCAACTCCCAGAATTCCAGAGCCAGAATCGCCCTTTTATGACTTGTGGACTTCAACTCCCAGAATTCCCAAGCCAGCATGGGGAACGATGGCCCTTTTATGACTTGTGGACTTCAACTCCCAGAATTCCCAAGCCAGCATGGGGAACAATGGCCCTTTTATGACTTGTGGACTTCAGCTCCCACAATTCCCGAGCCAGTTCCCCGACTCTGCCTTAGAATCTTTCATATTAAAATGGCGGCCTCAGGAATTCTGGGAGTTGAAGTCCAAAAGTCAACAAGGGGCCATCATTCCCTATCTCTGCCTTAGAACCTGAGTCTTACATATTAAAATGTCCAGGTCAGGAATTCTGGGAGTTGAAGTCCACAAGTCATCAAGGGGCCATCGTTCCCCCACCTCTGCCTTAGAACCTTTCATATTAAACTGGCGTCCTCAAGAATTCTGGGAGTTGAAGTCCACAAGTCAAAAAGGGACCATGCTTCCCCCAACTGTGGTCTAGAGATACGGGATAGTATTTGGCACAAACACATTTTTAAAAATTAGCACAATGAAGGAAGCTTCCATTTTGCATGAGCCCAATAGGGACAAGTGGCTCACATGAGGGAACAAAAGGTTGCGTGCTTCTGGGATAAACATTTTGTTCGTTGCCAAGATTATAACTTGTAAAATGCCTTTGGAATTGAACTATGAGGATTTGTGTATGGCTGTGTGTTTGTTTTGTGAGGATGGTGTAAATATGCCTTATATTGTTAAATGATCATGTTAAATGACGTTCATCTAATTAATGTTTGCCAGGGTTATTTCTGTGAAATGCAAAAAAATTATCAGCGGATTGTGAAACTGGTTTGATGATCTGAAAATCTTCTGTTTTCATGTTAATCAGCGATGTTGGAAAAATTAAAAATAAACATGCTCTTAATCCATTGGTTTAAAGGGGCCTATTGTTAAACTTTCCTGATTGATTGATTGCCGTTTGAACCTTCAAATAACATTTTAAGATTTTACTCAAGGTCCTCATGATTCATTTATTTTGCTAACGTAAATAACACGTTATAGACCAAATGAATAATGCTATGAGTTTGAGCTTTAATTAAAATGTTCAAGAGAATTTCACCAAGTTAGGAAAAAAGACAACATTCAGAATAGCTGTGTTAAAATCTCACCATGGTTGCACAATTCTTATCCGGCAAAGAAAATAGTATTTCTGAGACTTGATAGTAAATTAGTGTATGATACTAAATTATCCCTAATAAGAAACAGCCATCAACATACATTTCTCAATGTATGAATAATAATACATCAGGGTGACACAAAACAATCTAGCAAATCAGGTTTTATTATAAATTAAGAATTTGTAGAGAAAAGTGAAATATCGCTGTTATTGAATTTTTAAAAAAATATGCAGACAATTTGTTTTCTTAATTTGACTGTTTCACACCTTTGTTTGCCACACAGTTGTTTCTTCGATAATTTAAATCTGTACATCACCGTTGGAAGAATTCCTTGGTGACCTGAGTGTGGAAATATTTTCAAGTCCTGAGATTTTGTAGCCTGTTTTATTTCGCGAGTTCAATCTACATGTTTAGGAACACAATTTTGCAGTTTTGACTGATTCAATAAACATTGCCCTAGGAAGTCTATAAATTTTATACACAAAATACCCCATGCAGTTGTGGAATCAAATAACCAATATCTGAAATATCCCCCTCTAAATCAAACAAATTGGAACTGTCTCATGCTTATGTCACATCTCATTAAAGATGTCACAACAAGGTTTAGTCATAACTACACAGTTCAACCAGTGTAACAACCAGTTTGGTGAGCGCGTGCAGGCAGCGTTTGAAAACCACATATTTTCAGCTCTAAAACTTCCCTTCTGCTGCAGCCCTGGTAAGTAAAACAGCTTATGCGCAGCAATTCACTGTGTGCCGCACAAATTAGTTGGGCTGCAAAACATGGAAATATAGGACAGATTAGGGCAGGGGTGAGTGGGAGGGCATACTAATCACCGGAACTACTGGTTCACCCGAACTGGTCCGTACCGGCTGAATCCCACCCCTGTAACTACATAATTGAAACCGAAGCATTACAGTGGATAAATTCTAAGTGTGATTTATGTACCAATCCAAATCTTCTCCCTTTCTCTTCTGCTTTCCTTTTTCTTTGCCCTTGACTATACAACAGTTTGTTTAGGGAATCAGAAAGCATGACAAAAATTCTTTAATTTCACAATATCTAGACAGACTTAACCATAGGAAAATGGGACAATCCTAGACCAGGCCAAGTCCAGAAACATCAGGGAATTTCTAGAAGCCTGGCACTCTGACAAATTCGCCATCAATAGACACGGATACATGAAAAACATAGACTATAGACCAGGGGTCTCAAACACAATTTATAGACTATGCAGAAGAGATAATCAACCAGCCCAAAAGAGAACAAAAAAAGACTTCAGTATTTCTTTACCAGGAATCAGCAACCAGATCAGCATAGATTTAACTCCAAGGCTAACACCAGACCAACACGGCTTAACAACTGTAGCCAGAAAGGTCTTAAAATGAGGCCAAAGTCACTTAACCCCTGTCTCACTTAGCAACAGAAATTTCTCCTTAGTTCCAGGTTGCTTCTTTCCTTGATGAGTTTCCATTTGAACTCAGTTGTCATAAGGCGAGCACGACTTGTATTGCCATGGAAATGAATTTTTTTAGCAGGCTCCACCCTGGGTGACCTTCTGGGTTTAATGGTTGCTCAGACGGTCTTTGAAAATGCAGCATAATATCAGCGTACTGCCTTTTTCTGCATTAAAGCGAGCAAAACAAAAAAAAAAGCATGTGGCACATAACTGAGGAAGGAATAGCAGATGTGAGACATTCGACCTTGTTGGGACAACAAATAGAAATGTCATTTGGGGCTTCAGTTAATTCCAAAGGTGGGCTGCTACCGGTTCGCACCAGTTTGAGCGAACCGGTGGTTAATTTTATGGCCGGTTCAGAGAACCGGTTGTTAATTTTTTTTGAAGCCCACCCCTGGTTAATTCCCTGCGATTCTTTTCCCCTAGTTCAATTTTCTGCCTGCCAACATGCACCAATCCAAAGGATTGTCCTTTCTTGTTTTTATTTCCCAGTTTTTGGCTTCCTCCCAACTGGAGGCTTGCCAAGTTCACCGGAAGATTTTAGCGACAAAGCCGATCTTAATCCTTTCTTGGCTGGTTCACAGTATCTATTAATAAAAATGGTCCAGCTTGACTTTCCTTGCTTATGCAAATGGTGCATGCTTTTTCTCCAGCAGAAAAATGAGTGGTCCTCTATTTGCAAAGACATCATACCCAGGGGTGGGATTCAAAAAATTTTAACCACCAGTTCTGTGGACATGGCTTAGGTGGTGGGCATGGCTTGGTGGTCATGTGACTGGATGGACATGGCTTGATGGTTATGTGATTGGCTGGATGTGGCCAACTCAATATCACTCACATTGAGGCACGCATCTCCTCACCTGGCCTCTCATGACTGTGGGGATGCTGCAATAGTTGTAAGTGTGAAAAATGGTCATAAGTCACTTTTTTCAGTGCCATTGTAACTTTGAATGGTCATTCCACACAAACAAAGTACCAGCAAAGGAGGGGGAAAAAACTCCAGAGAGGTTCCTGAGACAGGAAGTCTAGTCCTGCCAAGAATGTAATAAGGGTTAATGGAGAGGCAGTTTCTGTAAGCAACACCAGAATGTTTCCTTCCTGACAGGATTAGGCCAGTAATTTCTTGTAACAACTGATTCTTCAAACTGCTTAGAATGTTAACAACCTGTTCTAGCAAATGGCGCGAACTGGTAGAATCCCACCCCTGATCAATACCTTGCAAATGCACGAAAGCTGTAGAAATGTCACCAGGACAAGAAAACAGGGAAAAGGGATTTTGAAAGAAAATACTCTCGGGGGGGGGGGGATTGGGACAAAATGTCACTTTATTTCACAAGGGACACAATCAAAGGGATTCAACTCTTGGCTCTGGCCTGTGTCCATTGTAGAATTTTTTTAAAGGTATGGGGTAGGAGATGCAGAATGGATTGCATGGATATACTTTGGAGGCAATTTATTGCAGACAGTTTCCCCAATACATCCGTCACAGAATCAAGATCACGTGAAGTGTTAATACCACTCTATAAGGCCACACTTGGAATAATGCATCCAGGTTTGGTCACCGCTCTATAAAAAAGACGTTGAGACTCTAGAAAGAATGCAGAGAAGAGCAATAAAGAGGATTAGGGGACTGGAGGATAAAACATATGAAGAATGGCTGCTGGAATGGGTATGTCTACTTTGATGAAAAGAAGGACTAAGGGATGATACGATATATCAAGGGTTGCCACAAAGAAGAAAGGGTTAAGCTATTCTCCAAAGCACTTGAAGGCAGGAGAAGAAGCAATGGATGGAAACTGTTATATTCTGGGCATGGGTGCAAGGAACGGAGACGAGTCAGAGAACTAGTGAACTTCAACTCTTTATTAAGGATTAAGAACAGAGCCAAAAAACCTTGGGCAGCAGCAGCCCTTTTATAGAGCTGGCTGC